TATATTTGCACGAGATTAAACTTGGCCTTTCCCTGGGCCTTCTGCAGATCAGATTTGCTTAGCCTTCCTTTCTAGAGCCATTCGTTATACATGGCCAAACCATCGCAGCTGTGACTTCTCAATTTGGAGAAGCAAAGGCTGTATACCAAAGCTCTTCCGGACGTCAGTATTCCGAGCCATGTGGAGACGCATAACGCCAGCAACTCATCTAAAAAGGACCACTTCAGCAGCTTATTTTGGTTCATATTTATGCCAAAAGGCTAACCTGGTTTTATAAGTTTTCAGCTATTATTTTCTTATTCTTTTAACCTCACAGGTACACGTAGATCTGCGCTACAGCGTTTTAACTTTTTCAGACGCAATTCAGTCGACCATTGCGCTGTTTTCTTGATGCATTGCATTTGTTGATAGTCATTGTATTACGACAATGCTCAGTGCAGGCATTCCAAAGATAAGTAGCATCAGTTCGATGTTACTTCTCATATTCATCCATTTGGACGACCCCGTATCCCCTCTCAGGTTGCTGAAGTAGACGCGTCGGATTGTGTCTGTAAGGTTTCAATCAGTTTTTGATCTTCGGCAGAAGATATTCTGACTCTTGAACAAAGTCCTTCCGCAAAGCAGAAATGCTAAAAGATATTTGTATTCTTTAAAGCAAGTGCTACCGAAAACCAGATGTGGAGTTGCTGATTTGTGGGGAATGAATTTATTTATGTTTATTTGAACGAAATGCAAAATTCAGCTTGTACTTGTTTTAGATTTCGGATATGAACAAAGAAAGATTGGAAGAGAAGATCAAGCTGTTGTCTGACAAGATAATCGGCCTGCAGGCGCAAGCAGAGCACCTTGGAGCTCAGGGCAAAGTGGACGAAGCGCAAGGCGTCATCAAAATGGCTGATGAACTAACCGATGAACGAGACCACTGCAAACGGGTGAGAGAGCCCATCTTTGATGTTGTTAAAAGGTGTTTTAAATTTGGCGTTTTTAGGCTATGGATACCCCTCTGGCCGAATTAAAATTGATGGAAGTTTGTGAAATTTGTGGTTGTTTCTTGATCGTTGGTGACAGTCAGCATCGCATAGATGAACATCTGACAGGCAAACAACACGTGGGATATGCAAAGATCAAAGACACCATCGACCAAATGATTGTAATATCAGAAAGTCCGAAATGTAAGTCTTCAGCTGACTTTCGAGTCTTGTTCTAGGCTGAACGAGAGAAGCGAAGAAGGGACAAGGAGGCAGAAGCTAGAAAGGAAGAGGAAGAAATGCAGAAAAGACGCGAGCCAGAAAAAAAGCGACATCATAGTCGCAGCCGTGACAGAAGTCACAAGCGAAGCAGGTTAGTTGGCAACTTTTTCTACTGACTGGTTGTTATGCAGCAGGCATTAACGGCTGTCGTTATTTTTTCCAATAGCCTTTTGGTTTTCATGAGGATAGAGTCGTTGATAATTCAGTTGTATAATGCGTTCATAGAAAGTTCATTTTTTGGCTGTTAGGATGAAGGGATAAATTTTTTGTGCTAACTCTTTTGACCACAACATTAACATCTGATCTCAGTCCAACATAGACGACCAATATTCGTCTGATCCCCCTATATGTAGAATATTAGCATGAAAGAAATATCAGGTTAAACATGTTAATCCGCTCTGTTGTTGTATAAAAATACGTGTCAGAAGAATAGCTCTGCTACGCTCTCGCCTTTGGATAAAACTGTTGTGCGATTGTTACTAATTCCTGCTTTTATCTTTAGCTTATTTATTTACTACGGCTGTTAAAATGCACTAGGATGTACGTAGCTGATAGTCTGCTAAACCTTTCTGGGATGTGTTCTTCCTTGATTGTTGCTTTACGAAGATCGCTGATTTCGTGCTTTTCTATCCTTTGACGATTATAGTCGGAAGTCACGTTCTCGTTCAAAGTCAAAATCGAAATCTAGCCGGCGTTCCGCATCTCATCATCGAAGCAGGTCGCGAACCAAAGATAAAAGTTGTCATGGTCACACCCACCGCAGCAGTCATGCTCACAGCCAAAGCCACGATCATCGAAAGCGATCTCGCGACAACGACAAAGTTCTTAGCCAAAAAAGGGAAGACTGCAGCGATTCAAAGAAAAAAGGTAAAGATCAGCACCGTTCAGGTTCAGCGAGGAAAGATCGCGTAGAAAGAAATTCAAAGGAGCATCGCCAATCTTCACGAAACTCTCATCGCCTCTCGTCATCGAAAGAAATGAAGTCACCGCGACCGCCGTCATTGAACGGCGCTGACAAACAGCCAGACAGGAAATCTGTGCAGGTGAACGGTTCTGACAGTGAGCATTTGGATGAAACAAAAGGTATGATCATTAGAATAGATTTTCTTTGCCAGGTCGACTTGTGGATTACTATCAAGGTAAACTTTCACAACCTTCCTACACTCCTCCATTTCTTAATCCTTGCTCTGATTCCGTCCGTTTCGTTGTTTAGCGACCACTCACTGACTTCCAACGTTTCTAGTTATCTTTCGTCCACGGCCGTTAGCTGAATTCCTGGTATTTGTTGTTCATCTGTTTTCGCACGTTTCCTGCCGTATCTTTGTTTTCTAATTTCCTAGAAATGATTCTATTATAGGTTTGAGCTCGTGACTCAGAGTACTTGATTCTGAAAACTATCACAGACAACAGTTTTATTATACGCAAGGAAACATGTGGTCTATCAAGTGATGATACCGAGACAAACACTTCGGCTCGTTTCTCAACTACGACTTGAAGATAACGGGGGTGGTAGTTTTCCAGAGCGGCCGAAAACTGCCCACTTTTTATAACAAAGTTGTAGGATATATGTCAGCGGTTAGGGGACATTCTGGACGGTAATTAGTGCTGATATGCTATCAATTACACTGCATCATCATTTTCTCTTCGGCGCTTATGCTGAAGATGGTTTTTTCTATTGTAGCATATCAGTAGCAGGCCAGCAGTCTCAGAAAATTTCTCGAGATTTGCTAGCATACTTTTTGATTTATTCTTGTTTTTTTTTAATTCTATGGCATCAGATTTTTCAGTAGGGGAAGCATGAAGGCGTTTCCTTACAGTAATCTTTGTGAGTTTAGGCTTTAGCAGCAGTACTGTATAAATTTTGTGGTCTCAATAAACTTTGTTGAACTACCTTTTTCTATTTATGCAAGAACAAAGCTCCTCACTAATTAAGAAAAACTTTAAAACAGCAGTGAACACGGTTTAATACACATGCAAGAAATAATATCGTTCACCGGATAATCGGATGATTCACCGATACGGACATTTCAGTTAGTTTTTCACGAGCGTTCTTCAAAGTAGGAGGTTGGTAAACTTTCAGAGGTTTTTACTGTTGTCCACAGCGACTAGTAGGCTTTGTGGTTTACCAGCTGCAGTGGACCTCTGAAGCTTACCAGCCTTCTATCGTGAAGAATAATCTTTCCATAGCCGAAACCGGCAGTGGTTAGTCATTCGATTGACCATATTATTTTTGCGTTATGTGCTAATTG